TTTGTCCATTGTTTTTCCTTTGTATATACTTGTTTTCTTGTCCCAAAAGATTGTACTTTCTCATTACCTATCTTCAGTGAAATTTTTGAATTTGATTCAATATCCTCGCATATATTCACCAAATTACTAATCAATAACATCGGTTATTATGCCTTACTCGGAAAAGTGTCAGAGTATGGGGATTTTGAAACAGGTGTTCGCCAGAGAACACATACAAAGGCACGCTCCCATCAATCATTAAACAAATCATTGAGAAAAAAGAGGGTTTAAATTAAAGAAATCAGTTTCAACATAATCATACTTTTCCCAAGCAAAGAAGTCCCAATTTAAAGGCATGCCACAAGGAAAGACCATTCTGAATGAATTTTCTCTGAAAAATCAATCAATGACCAAAGAATCAAAGAGGCAAGATAAACTCTCTCGAGGTAGATCAGAAGGACCAAGTCAAAGAATATTTAATGAGAGGTCAAGGAAGTAACCAGGCCTGGACAAACGCATAAATATCGCATATTCCGGTCAAAGAGTATGAGAGATTCCCAATGCCAGGATCGAACTGAGCATAACCCTTTAAACATGCATTTAGATCATCCTTAGGGCATATTGCTAACATGAAATCATGGCATATGACCATTTTTACAGGATCTTCAAGACTTATTTCATTATTGAAGCAATGAATCAGTCAACATCAACTGACCAGATCTCCTCATCACGTAGGAGAGTGTCAACATTAGGATAACCAGCCGTCCTCATCACGTAGGAACCGAGTTATCACCATTCCTAAAGATGGCCAGAGTTCTTCATCATGTATGAACCATGTCATCTACCCTTAGACTACCAGACTTCCTCATCGCGTATGAGCCGTGTCATCCCTTGACCAGATTTCCTCATCACGTAGGAACCGAGTTATCACCCTTCTTAAAGATGACCAGAACTCTTCATCGCGTATGAGCCGTGTCATCCCTTGACCAGATTTCCTCATCACGTAGGAACCGAGTTATCACCCTTCTTAAAGATGACCAGAACTCTTCATCGCGTATGAGCCGTGTCATCCCTTGACCAGATTTCTTCATCACGTAGGAATCGTGTTTCCCTTAGACGACCCGAACTCTTCATCACGTATGAGCAGTGTCGTCCCCAACAACCAACATTATTCAATTTCTAAGTTTGAAAGGGAGAGAACCAGATAAAAACTTGATGTCTTTTCATCTTTGCCCTATTCTTGTTAACACAAGAATGTGCAAAGAGGGGCAGCTGTAGACACCCATTTTTGTCCGGGTCTTTTTTATTATTATTATTATTATTATCGTTATTTATTATTATTAATTAATTACATATATTTTTGCAGGCCAAATTAAGGCCTGATTACAAAGTGACCCAGCTGACCCATTACAACAACCCGAAGCCCAATTGGCCCAGAGACCAGAAGCCCACTGCTAACCCAGACCTAACCTAGCAGATTAGGGTTTCAAACCCTAAAACATATTAGGGTTTCAAACCCTAATCCCCTACTCAGCCGCCGCTTCTGTTTGGACTTCCAGCCGCCGTGTGACTCCTCAGCTTCCCAGACGCCAGCCACTCAAGCCGAGCCTCCCCTTCTCTTCTTCTGACGCCGCCACCATCACTGTTCTGGTCTGACCCCAACTGTTTCACTATTGTCATCTACAGCAAAACCAATCAAGAAAATATATCATATACAGTTCAAATCTCACAAAATCTAAACTCCAAATTAAAATACCAATAAATCCCTAAATATTCGGGATTTCTATCCCACCAAATCAGAAAAAAGCCAGGCTCTACCTAGATATCATCATCATCTCACCAGAAATCCGAGGCAAGCAAACATAAAAGACCAAAAAAAAGAGAAAATGGACGGTGGGTGAAAAAAAAACCAGAGAATAGAAAAAAAGAGAGATACGAAACAAAAAAAAAGAGAGAGAAGAAAGAAAAGTTTTACCTTCTCGAACCACCACCGGGAATCTCGTTGTGACCTTCTCCGATCCCAGCTAGCCCCATATCTGAAGGTAAAGCCTTTTCCTCTTATAGGTTAGTTAGGATTGGAGTGCAGTGGGTTTTGGGGTTATGATTCACTTAGGTTTTTTTAGGTGAGAGAGAGATGAGGTTACTCCCCATGGCCACCGATCTACGGTGGCCGGGGAGTTTAGGGTTTAAATCCTCGGTTGAGGATGAGAGAAGGAAGGCGAAGAGGAGGGTCGAGAACCATTTTGGCTCTCTGTCTCTGGAAGGAGAGGGAAGACTGAAGGGTTTAGGGTTCTCTAGGGTTTTCACCGCCGATTTACGGCGTTTGTGACCTCTGTTTTTCTCCACGGCGGAGGATAAAGGAGAGAGGTGGAGGGCCTCTTTGGCTCTCTGTCTCTGGAAGGGGAGGGAAGAACGAGTGAAACGGCTGAGGGAATGGGGAGAGAGCAAATGATTTTAGGGTTTCAGAATAACCCTTAAAAGGGTTATATTTCAGACGTCGAGCGACGTCGTTTTGAAGCAAGAGGGAGGCCGAGTGATGGGATTAAGGGCTAATAGCCTATTTGGTCCTCTTACCTCTGTAATCTTGCACGCGTGTCCTTAACATTTATGGGTAAATAATAGTTTAGGTCCCTCAAGCTTTTGTAAGGGTTGTAATCTGGTCACTAAATGAAATCCATGCAATCTTATTTCGAGCCTATAGTTTTATTTTGTTTTATTTGAATCACTAGTTTATATATTATGTATGTTTTATGATCTTCGAATTTGGACATGTGATTTATGTTTTTCTTCATTTTGGTCACTGGACTGGTTATTGTTAATATTTTTGAAAGTTTAGACATTGTACTCTTTATTTATGAAACTTTTATCTTGATCACTACTCTCATATTTTGGGTTAAATATCGATTAATGTCTGTTTATTTTACTTTCATTATATTTTAGTCCTTATCTGGTCTATTATTACATTTTTATTAGAGTTCGAATTTGGCCATATTATTTTATGCATGTTTCGTTTTAGTCCCTGTTTAACATTTGGCTTAATTGTGGTTTAGTTCTTTATGTTTTTTTTCATTTCATTTTGGTCCCTAATATGATTTATGGTTTATTTGTTTTACTGTTTTTAATATTTGTTAATTATATTTTAGCCCCTTAAATGTTTTAATATTTATTTTGGTCTGTAATATTTACTAATTTGTATTTTAGCCATTTATGTATGGATGTGCATTTTACTCATTAGATGATTATTGGTATTGTGTTTACTTTAATTTAATATAAATCTTTGTATTTCCAATCACATTTATTTTCATTATATTTTTATCTATGTAAGGAATATTCGATTATATTTTCAAGAACATGTATGCGTAGAATGGGCGTGGAAAGTACCACTTGGTCGAAGTGGTACGATCCGATACGGCATTTTAACGACATAGGGACTTGTAACAAGTCGAGTATATTTTACTAATTAATTTATTAAAATGATGTAATGTGTGGTACCTTAAGTGACACTCACTTTATTTTATGTGAATGTAAATTTTAAATTTTCATTTTATATTCGATACGTTTTTAAATAAATGATGAGAGAATATTCTTTAAAAGATAAGAAATAGACGAGTTAATTTTCCCGACGGAGGATTGTTAATCTCGAGATTTCTTTTCAAATTAAAGAATTTTCTCTGATAAAATAATTCGAAGTAAATTAATTAAATCTCAATAAACGAATCATATCTTAGTTTTATATTCAATTTGTAATTTCCACCATTTACGACGATGTGTAAGCTACACAGTACCAATTTTGGGTGTTGTGGGGGTGTTTACCCTTCCCCACACGTAACCGACTCCCGAACCTGTTTTAAATGAATCTTTGGTAACGTAGACCAAATTTTTGTCTTATAAAATTATTTTTCTTAAAATTGTTTTTAAAAGACGTTTTTAGGTATTTGACCTACCTAACCCAAAGGTCGATGGCGACTCTTTTCAATTTTATTCAAATCCATTCAAAATCACCAAATTTTCCAAATTAAAGTCGTAATCGTTTTTTAAAATAATATTTAATTGTTTTACAAAAAATGGTTATGACACATATGATAATTAATCTAAAGTAAATGATTGAGGACCTTCAACGAGATTTATAAGTAAAGAAAAACGAGAAAAATTAATTTCATAAATTAAATTACATATAACTAAAAATGCTAATTTAACGTGAAGATTTATTTTACAAGTAAAGTGATGAATACAAGCAACTTGAAACTTCATTTCAATAGTAATGGCAACAAATATAAACAATAAAAAGTTATATGACAATCTTTGATGAATTACTTTAACAAAGAACAAAATATTATTTTATATTTAATATTATATTTACATATAATAGGTATATATTCGGATCTAAAATATATTTATAAATTTGTTTAATTTTAATTTAATATTTAATTTTTTTAACATTTATAGATTTACGCACTCAATGTCACCTACCAAAATCCTATATTAGTAAATTTGTAATTTTGTATGCTTATTTTAGTAAAATTATAGTCTTGGTCCTTATATTACACTCAAATTTATAATTTATTCTCCATACTTTAATTTGATATGATTTAGTTATTTTTTTTATAACGTCATTCATCAATCGAAAAAAATTAAATTTTTTTCTTAATAACATTATTCCAGCTCAAGTATCATTGATACATATGTATGTATTTATATTGTGTTTTTATATTATTTTTCACATCAGATTTATATCTTTATCTTTAGAATATTATAAATTTATATGAGATAAAATACATTTACAATGTGTAAAATTATTTAGTTTTACACGAAAATATGATCATTGAATGAATATGAATAGATTATTTAAATGTTTCAAAAAATAGATGATTGAGATTAAAATAAAATTAACCATTTTAATGAAAGTTTAATATAAGTCTTTTGACATTTTTTCAATTAATCTTCAATTATAAAATGTTTGTGATAAAAATAAAAGATTCATTATAAAAAGGAACTTAAATGAAGTTATTAACATTTAAAAGGACTAAATATGCAAACTTGCTCACAGTTTAATTTATTTCACAATGTTTATACAAACTATGCATTGCATAGGATTAGTTGCAATAGGCAAAACCATCAGCAAACAAACAGGTGATTCAAGATTAGGCCTACACATATTAAGATATATTATCATTTCGATAATGACTCTGGACAAAATTAAGTGTCTACAACTTCTACTTGATTTTCTTAATCGTTCTTATCGAATTGGGATCGTAGTAATGATTTACACATAATTCAGAGCATCCTTATTGTTGATATGATACAATTTTCTCTCAACTCTTTAAACTCCTAACGCATCTTAAAACCCATGCCCAGGCCTTTTGCATTTGTGCAGAAAACCAGTTGGAGTTCCCTCACGCATTCTGGCATCGACGGCCGCTCTCCGCTCTCGGCACGGACACATCGGGACGCCAAGTTTGCAAACATAGCTATGGATTCAATGGTGTATGAATTCTGAGCCATCTCCGGATCGACCACCTTTCGTAACTTCTTCCGGTCATTCAATATGTGCCTAACCTGAGAATGTACCGTCCATATATTTTCAACAAGCATCGGATAGAAATAGTTTTAAAAGAAATGAAGAATCGAAGAAACATTAAGTTACTTGAAGGACAAGGTTTTGATCATTCGGTCCTTGGTTTATGTCAATAGCTCTACGTCCGGTCAAAAGCTCTAAAAGAACCACTCCGAATGCATAAACATCACTTCGTAAAGTTAATTTCCCCGTCTATCATCGAAAACAAATAAAATACTAAAATTATTTAAGAAAGAAAAATTAAATAAATAAAATGCATGACGAGTTTTTAATATATTTTATAGAATTAATGAGGAATACGTACCGAAGTATATTCAGGATCGAAATAACCAAATGTACCAAGAACTCTTGCCGTAACATAAATGTCGCGACCCTCTGGCATCAGTTTGGCTAGTCCAAAATCAGATATCTGTGGGGGGGGAATAGCAGAGTTGGATTTTAGTTTATAATTTACATTATAAAATTATTCTACATATTAATAAAAATTAAGTACAGAATATATTTATATTGTTTGATAATAGTGGATTTGATTTTGTTTATGATTTATTTATTTCAAAATTTTAATTTTATTAATATACTAATATTTATATTATTATGAATAAATTTAAATATAATAATTTATGTATTTTACTTTTCTATATAAGTAAAATAAAACTTATTTGGAGTAACTTTTAATCACACTAATATGACTTAATTTTAACAATAAAAGTCACTTAATTTACATTGTAAAAATATTGGGTTAATTTAAATTGTAAGTCACTTAATTTAGCATCAATTTGTATTTAAGTCAAAAACTTTTACATTGAAAGTATTCAATGAGATTAACATAAGTGACCTAATTTGTTAATTATAGGAATAGTTCTATGAAATGAAGATTTGTGACTTGAAATAAAATTGATGGTAAGGTCGGTGACTAAAATGTAAATCACTCTGTATATTTATATTAAATCTTCTTTAGGTTATAATAAATTATTTTTAATATAGCAATCAAATAATGCTGTTCAAGGACAAAGCTATGGGTAAGGTGGAGGGATCATGACCCCTCCCAAAAAATTAGGTTTAATTGCTTTTAAGACCCTTCTAATTTTAGAGCTAGACAAAAAAAGGTCTTCGTACTTTTGAAACTAGGTAAATTAGATCCTAACCCCCTTTTGGTGCAATTACTTTTCAGACCCTCTTAGTTTTGAAAAAAAAAAAAATTAAGCCTTGGCCTATATGTATTTTATTTAAATACTTTTAGCTCCTTTCAATTTCAAAATTAAATAAATTAGATCCTATCCATCCATTTTTTTATTTTGAATTGATGACTCAATAAATAGACTATAATCATCATTTTATTTTATTTTTTATTTTATTTATTCCTTAAAATTTTATCCTAATTCCGTCCACAAATACTTTTTCTATCTTTAGTGGCCATCAATTTCCTATAATTATCAATTCGACCCGAACCACACTGATTTACAACTAATAAACACTTAAATTATCAAAACTTCATGCAATGGTAGCTAAGATTTACTTACCTTGGCTTCAAAGTTGGCATCGAGAAGAACATTGGTAGACTTGAAATCCCTATGAACAATGGGGATCCCAACAGCAGAACTGGAATGTAAATAAGCAAGCCCTCTAGCTGCTCCGATCGCCACCTTCAGCCTGGAAGGCCAATCCATCTTCGTTTCACCGATACCTATTTAAACCGATTTTGAAGTCGATACGTAGATGTTGTAAATCGACGTGGGATTTAATTAGTAAAAACAAAACAAAACAAAATTCAACTCCGAAAACACCCACCATTTAGATGATCTTGCAGGTTCCCTTTCTGCAGGTATTCGTAGACTAGAAACCGGTGTTTTCCGTCTGCACAGTAACCTATCAACGACACCAGATTCGGGTGGTCAAGTCGGCTTAAGATATCGACTTCTACGCGGAACTCGCGTTCTCCTTCGGCTTCTTTGAATGCCGGAAGATCCATTTTCTTGATTGCAACAACCTTCGGAATGCACCAAAAAGATCAAATTTGTGTTCTTTTTTTGTCCATCTTTATGGTAAAATATAAATAGTAAAAATATGAAAGTCATAGTTTAATTATTAAATAATTAACTGATCGAATAAAGTAAAAAAAAAGGAATAAATATTTGATTAAATTAAGTTAAAATATTTTGAGAAATCTAATTGACGAGACTTATTTTCTCAGTCAAACTTGATTTCTATACAATACTTATAATTTGATATGAAATTTGACCATTCTTTTTTAATTCCATTAATCAGTTCAAATAATTAGTCCCATTAATTATTTTAGTTAAAATATTTAAAAGAACACATTTTTATACCGATACAATTTTTTATTGGAAAGGGTGGTTTAAAGAAAAACTCGGACTAGAATAAGAATATACCAAATTAAAATATAGTGACTAAATCCCAATATTGAACAAAATAGATGGACCAAAACCTGAATTTCACCAATCTATTCAACTTAAAATAAATATTGAATTATATATAAGCATTATAAATTAGGATCATTAAAGCATTATAAATTAGGATTATGGCTACTTGAAGTTCTCAAACTTTTGGAAAAAAATATCTATCGGTCTCGTAATTATTGTAAAAAAGATTTAGTTTAATTGGACATCAAATAAATTTTCAAGTTAAATTATTTAACTCTAATTATTTACTAGAGTTGAAAATAGAAAACACTCAAATAATAATTATTTAATTTTAACATTTTTTCAAATCGTATTGAATTTTATAATAATAATGATAAGTACTGAAACCAAAATGATCAAGATTATAAATACCTCTCCTGATCTAAGAGTGCCCTTATAAACTCGGCCAAACCCTCCTTTCCCAAGCAGATTCTCATCACTGAAACAACCCGTCGCTTCCTCCATCTCCTTGAGCGTGAAAACCGATGATCCCTGTCGTCTCTTTACAGGCCTGGGAATTTGGTTTTCTTCAATTTGCCAGCACTCAACTGGCTTATAAACCCCTGAAAAAGTAGGCAAGCAACACAGTTTGGAGCCTAAAAAACAGACCCATTGTCTAATTACACCCCATGAACATAAATCATCAACATCCATATATGTATATGTATCACATGAAGTAAAACAACATACATGGGTCAGTATGATCCTGAGATTTGCTTCTCCGTCGCTTGTTCCAAGCCGAAACTAACCCGAAAGGCATCGTTTTAAGCTTCCTCGGATCGATCCTTCGGTGCTGATAATCTGATGGATTATACTACATCACACAGACAATATGTCGAACAGCTGAGCTGCATGAAGTTGGTTACGAATAACACGTTAAAAAAGAGATCAAATTCTTAGCCTGATGCTGGAGAAGAATATATGAAGGAATGGGTAGAGATATTCGAGGAATCTGCTCATACAGAGTACGTGTTAAGCAATTGAGGTTAGATTTAGAAACTACTCAAACAACAACAGCAACAGCGAGGAGAGATGAACTTGAAGGAAAAGAAAAAGCTGTTAAAAGGGAAACATAGAAGTTGGTATTTCTTCCCACCTAATTTTGATTACAACCCATAATTCGAAATTCAATCCGATTTGATCAGTATAATTTGGCATTATCATCTTTGAGTATATATTTCCACATATCCTCTCAATTTATTTTTTCACCAAATAAATTACACCATATAGTTTTCAAATCACAAATTCTAATAATTAATATTTTATAATACATAATACATATATTCTATGAATACGATTATAACATTAAAATAACATGAACACAAAAGAAATATACATGATGGATATGTTTTTTTTAAAGGTGATTGAGATTTGAGAGTAGCTGTTGAGAGGGTGCTTTCGTTCATTTGTTTTGGTGCCAAAGTTGTATGATTCTTTATTTTGAAAATGACAAGAGATGGGTCTCTGATTATGTCATTTTAACCCTAATGTGGAACTCAAGATATCAATGGATTCTTTCACGTCTGCATTCACAATATAGTAGTTTAGGATAAAAATATATATATATTAAAACACTTTCCATGGAGGTGGATAGGAGTGATTATTAGTGGATACTCGTATTTTCAGGTACTCAAAAATTTAAATACTTAGTTTTTCAAGTATTCAAAGATTCAAGTACCCAACTTTTTGGGTAATGAAAAATGTGACTTGTATTTTGATCTGTGAACATCTGGTACTTTGATATCTATAAAAATTAGGTACTCATATTTTCAAATAACAGAATTTGAAGATAAAACATAAAATATAAAAAAGAAATCGAATTAAATGAACAAAACTAAATTTATAACAATAAGATTAAAGAAAAAAATTTAAAATGTTATAGGGAAATAATTTGAGAATTGAGAATGTAAAATCTAATCTAAAATAAAAATAAAAATAAAAGAAATAAAAAATAAAATCATCAAATGCCCATTAAGACGAATATTACAGCCTATGACCTGACTCGTGAACTCAAAAATTAACAGGTCGAGTATCCGACCCGATAGAAAATTAGAGAAAAAATACCATGTTATTTTAAACGCCACTACTGGTGGATCATGGTAAAATAATTTGAACAAGCTTAATTATTTTTTAGAAAATAGGATTTAATGAAATTTTCAAAAAGAATTGGTGTGTGATTAAAATTTTCAAACCATGAAAGGTTCATTGAGAATTTTAAAAAAAAATTAAAATAGAAGGTTTAATAAAAACTATTAGAAGTTTTAGACAGTGATAGTTTCTAAAAACTTTAGAGAATCTAATTAAAATTTTCAAAAATAATAAGGAGCATATTGTAAATTTTCCAAAACTGTGGAGGGACAAAGCCCTGGCCGTCATGTTGATCCACTTCCTTTGTCTCTTCGATTGATAACGTACGAAAAATAATGGGAAATGAAAACGCCGCATAACATGAAATATTATTGAAATTTATATAATATATTTAGGGTAAATATACATTTTGGTATTAGAACTTTGTTTTTAAGTTCAATGTGGTACTTAAGATTTTTTGTCCAATTAGATACCTAAATTTGATTCCTTGGTTCAAATTAATAGTTGATTTTGATTTTTTTTAATTTAAATTGATATTTATTATTTTTAATTAATTTGAACCAAAGAAATAAATTCATATTCGTATTATTATCCCATAAGGGACACTCATTTCCTTTTTGAACAATTTTTGGCCACAATAAAATCCAAAATTTAAATTAAGTAATTTATATAAGGGTAAAGTATAGTAATGGTCACTGAACATTTCTGAAACTTGCATTTAGGTCCCCCAACATTTAAAACTTGCAATACAGTCCCCCAACATTTATTCCGTTTGCAATATGGTCCCCCAACTTAAACCACAGTTAGAAAATTAGGATAAATTATATAAACGGTCATTGAACTTTTCAGTCACTTGAATTTCGGTCCCCCAACTTTTAAAACTTGCAAAACAGTCATCAATTTCATTCTAAACCCCAATTTCCAAAGTAATTCAATTTTATTCTAAACCCTAAATTCTAAAATACTTCAATTAAATTCTAAAATACTTCAATTTAAGGTAATATAGGCTTGAAGAAAGAGTTCAAGGCACAGACACAACGAATAAAAATATATATTTATATAAATGTATATTTATATTTAGATGTATAAATAAAAAATATATTCATATATTAATGTATGAATCATTTATATTTTTTGAATATTTTATTTTTAATAAGAAATTAAAATTATTAATTATATTAGAAATACTCAACTTAAGATTATATATATATAATCATGAATTATAAATATGAAAAATATAATTATTAAATTTATTTTAAAAATATATAAATCTTAAATTTATTCTTTTAAAATATTGTATCAACTAATATTTAAAAAATATATTAAATCTATCAAACAATTTATCAAATATAATATTTTTTTATTGTAAAAAATATAATATTTTCCCATCATTTATTGCTTTCAAATTTTTTGCCGAAGTTCAAATCTCATTATTTCCATTTTATATTATATTCTTTTTTTTCTGGCATTGGTCATACTATTAGTATATGTATTATTGTATATCTCTTAACACAAACGATGGTGTTAGCTTAGTGGCTCCACCCTATATCTTTCATTTGCGTGACTCAGGTTTAAGTTTGCCCAAGACCCAAATTTTACTTCTTTGTAACTTAATTTTCTTCTAATTAGGAGGTGACATGTGTCACCAATAACACATATCATGATCATGTGTTAACACATGTCAGATCCTGATTAAATGATTAATTTATTAAATTTTATTTAATTTATGACCAAATTGATAGCATATATAAATAATTAGGTGGTAACACGTGTCACCAATGACACGTGTCATGATCATGTGCTAACACATGTCAGATCCTAATTAAATGATTAATTTATTAAATTTTATTTAATTTAGGACCAAATTGATTATATAAATAATAAAGACTGAATGTATAATAATTTCAATTCCTTTTAACTGCCACATCATCATTTTATCAATTGGTAACGACTAGTGGCTTAGTTGAAACAGTTAAATAATTATGTGGTATGATTGATAAATTTAAAAGATCGATGACAAAAGTAAAAAGGGCTAGATAGTTAAGTTGTCAACCGAGTAGTTTACACTTTTATTTATACGTCAAAATAACATTTTATAAATTTAAAATTCGAATTATTTTCAACCTCTTTTATATCCTAACTACTTTTTTTAATTAAAAAATTTCTTCAACAGATAAGAATTATACTATTATATTTATATAAAAAATACGTATCACATGAAATAAGATGAAATTAAATAATAATAACTTTGACATAATTGAATTTAATTTAAGTATTTTGGAATTTAGGGTTTAGAATAAAATTGAATTACTTTGGAAATTGGGGTTTAGAATGAAATTGATGATTGTTTTGCAAGTTTTAAAAGTTGGGGGACCTAAATTCAAGTGACTGAAAAGTTCAATGACCATTTATATAATTTATCCTAATTTTCTAACTGTGGTTTAAGTTGGGAGACCATATTGCAAACGGAATAAATGTTGGAAGACTGTATTGCAAGTTTTAAATGTTGGGGGACCTAAATGCAAGCTTCTGAAATGTTCAGTGACCATTACTATACTTTACCCTTTATATAATCATCTAATAAGTTTAGAGATCGACTCTCAAAATTTACAATAATACTTTCTCTACCCCAAATTTATGTCTGCTGTGCATTTAATAGCCATGATTGAAATCCGAATTTGATTGGAAGCGAATATTGTGATGATCATAGGTGTTGCCACCATTGTCGACGGTTTTTAGCATAGCTTCGGGCTTCCTGTCTTCCTCTTGAACTGCCTCGAAAACGAACTCGGTGGTTTTCTCGTGGCTCTGCTCATGGTAAGTATGCAGGGCGGATGATTGATAGCGATGCTGGAGGTGTTTCTGATGCTGCATATTGGCATCCCATCCGTTGTAGAAGACCTGCCTTTGACGCAACTGATGGATCTTTTCTGCATCTTTGGACATGAAAGGATATGTCTTCCGCGGAGTGGGGGCTCGGGTATCGATCGATGGAGGCTCATCTTCATCCGGTATCACATAGCTCTCTTGTGCAGGCCAAGGCGTCAAATGCTTTGGTTGTTGCTGGTGCGGGCTCGGCAACTTCTTTCTAAAACCAGGAAATACTCCTCCCAAAATTTCAAGTACCGAAACTCCGCCATTGAGAACAAGTTTCCGAAGGGATCCAATGAAGCCTTTGTCTTGCCTCTCATGTTCATCTTCAGTCGGAATTAAAGGTGGCCTGACGGATTTCACGGGCTTCTGATATGGACTCGATACAGCAGCATTCACTTGAACTGAATCCTGATCCATGAAATTAAGCATCGCCATTTCAGTGGTGAATTATGCAATACGAACTAAGTTACTTAGAATCAAGTATGAGTGTCGGATACCGGTAGACGTAGCTACATCAAATACTTCTACATACAATGTTCGGGCAAAGCAGATACCGAGTATATAAATAATAATGCCGAACACTCACATTTTGGGACGATACAATGGTGCCCACTCTACGTTGCAGCAAGGCTAGCATGTAACCAAAGAATCCAGCCGCAATAAGTACAGCGATTCCTGAAACAAAAGAAAACCAAGTGTGTAAAGCTCCAGTACCGACAATAAATGGAGATCAACATGAGGGGATTAACTTACCGAGAGGAAAACCACTTCCATACTGATAGGCACAGTCGTCAAAATGTAGTTGAATCTCTCTGATTGCTTGATTTCCTCTATCTATAACGAGAAGGGAGCAACTGCTTCCGACATAGACCACATCAAAATCATTAGAAAACTTTGCATCTTCACTTGGTCCGTCTACATGTCCCCCTCCCCGGCTCAATTTTCCACCAGCAATTGTCGTAACACCTGAAGATGATTCCGCTCGTATCAACAATAGTTTACAACCATTACATTGAACACATGACGGCAGCTAATCTCACCGAAAGATTCTTTTGTTCATATTTTTAAGAAAAGAACATACGATACATACAACTCGGTGATTACAGTGCTAACCTGCATCACTTATTTTCCTGATTGCGGTGTTCATAGCGTCTGCAATATAAATATTCCCTCTGTCATCTACGGCTAACCCTTTTGGATGGTTCATCCTCGCTTCTCGTGGCTTCCCATCTACGTGTCCGGGGTATCCTTCAGGAGATCCCGCAACCAGCCTTGGTCTAGTATCTGCGGTTCTCCCATTAAATAATCACAACTTAAAAAAAATTATCTCATGGACAAAATCGAATCATAACACAAATATAGAATTGCATCAGTGAATACTTATATCCTTACGATCGATCTTACCAACATTTTAAGCATCCACTAGGCCGTAAAAGTAACATGGTCGAGATGCAAAATAACAGACCAACCGAAACTTGCTCAAGAACGGTGAATAAATAAAGCATCAAAACAACCTAATAAGGATAACATTGAGCACGAGCACAATAAGTTGAGGTTCCTTTAGCTCATAGATCTATTTGTTTCCATCTTATTTGCAGTAAAAGGCAAAATCTAACTTGCTCGACTCTTCTTTTTTCTCGAAACGCCCGTCTACGGCACTCGTTTCCGATGCATATATCGACATGGATATATAGATATGATCCTCCAAGGATTCTCCAAATACATATTGAACAAATCCATGTATAGGGCAAAACCAATATTGACATAATACATAATTCTTATAACTTCAAACTAATCAATACTTGTAACTATGATGAAATTCAAGATTTAACCCCTATATTATTAGTAGATCCAAACCGTTATCGCAGGTAACCGCTACTGTTAAACCGATGACGTGAAATTTTCTTAACTATCATTCAATCACACACAATCAAGGCCACCATGAAAATCCAATCAATCATGTTCAACCAATTAGATATTTACAAATTACAACGGCATTAGGATAAACCAAAGTAGATTGATTAAATTCTGAATTTTAGCATAGTAAAGAGACTAAGATCGTAATTCGACCGAGATAACATCACAAAGAAAGAAGAAACCCACTTACATAAAGACAGAGAAGCAGAAATCCTATACAGGTTGCTATTAGCAGAGTCCAAAATCAGAAGCTCCCCATTAGGCAAAACCTCAACAGTGTGAGGCTCAATCCCAAGCTTACTTCCATCAAACACAGTCTCCACACTATATCCACTCTCAAACTTCACCATTGAGCGCCCAGTAATTGCTGTAAACATATAAATCAACATATCAGACACCAAAAACAGAAAGAAAATGTGGGTTATAACTTCCAATAGACAAGAGATCTACAGAAAGAAAGAAAAAAACCTTTTTTGGTTGTAGTTTTGAGTGACCATAACCATTTCATGGAAGCAGACAAAGATTTAGAGAAAAACTCATTAAGGATCTCTGCAAGAACAATGTAAAATCAAAGGATTTAAGCTGTAAACTATAAGCAGATCAAAGCAAAGAAAGTTTTTTTTTTAAAATTGCTTACTTTCAGGTGAAGAACTAGTGGGAGCTGAGCTGACAGTGACACTTCCAAGAAGAAGCAAAAGAGCAACACCCAAAGCGAATACATTTTTTATCATTGCTACTACTTTCACCGCAGAGAAAACTAAAATCCCAAAATGAGAGCTCCCGGAAATCGGAGGAGATTCAAGCTTTACACATTGAAAAGTAAGCCAACAACCCTACTTGGAATCTGTTTTTTTTAGTAACAGTGAAAAAAAGAAGGAAACAGTTCTTTATCTTAGCTTTTTTCTTTTTCAAGGAGTAAAGGCATGAGAAAAGCAAAGGGAAGCAAACAGGGAGGAGTCACATAGAGAGAGAATCAGTATGATGTGATTAATGTATCTTAAAGCCTTAAATGCTACAGTGTTTTTATATCAGGTTTAACGACAAAGTTCAGTTATTCCCTACCTAAATCCCCTGCTGTTTTTCCTTATTGTTTTCTACTTTTAATGTGTTTTAATTAAAGAAATGTGATGAAAAATAAAATAAGATATAATAATTTAAGAAAATTATTTTAAAAAATAAATCAAATTTATAGTGTTAAGTAAAGTTGTCTCTACACTAATACAATATTATCAAAACCGTCCCCGATTGGATTTAATAAATTTTATCATGTAAATCGTTGATAACTGTCCATAATTTTATTAGAGCTGTATATAATTGTTGATGGCTTTAGAATAAATTAAATGGCCGAAAAATAATATCGAAATATAATGAATTTATTCTATCCATAAAATATATATTTACATGTCAGAGATAATTGTTAACACATACGATTTTATTTAGGGATGAGTTTTCTACAAAAGAGGAAGGATCGGTTAGAGGGAAAGGATTAGGGATTTGAATATTATAAATTTCAAAGATTTAGGAGGTTGTGGTGATAATAAGAATGATAACTGGATATTAGATGAATGGACATCGATAGATGAATGATCATTCGAAAATGAGCATTAACGAGGGTGAAATTAGAGATTTTAATAGTTTGAGTTTTTTTGTTGTCCGACATTTTAAAGAAATTTGGTTTTTTAAATAATATTTTTTAATTAAAAAGTAATTTTTTTAAAAAATATAAACACATCGCTTTTTTAGTGATCTCCCAACTTTTCCTTTGCTTAGTGCAACTATTAATTATTTAAATAAAAGAAAGCGTTCCCTTTTCGTGGTGATGAAAATGGAGTTCCCCCCCCCCAACACATTTCAGAATGACTTGAACCTATTACTAGGTTAAAACATCGACTGTTTGCATTATTCATTTGTTGGACAGCTTGCTGATGAATGTGAGAAGCTCTCGCAACCTCCAAGCTCACATACTGTTGGTAAGGTTTCGAGAAATTTGGGATTGTTTTTTAAGCCTTGTGTGGGAGTCTTCAGTGAACTTCGGTTTCCAAGATTCTAGGAAACTGTTGTTCCTGAGGTTCTACTGTAGTGGTTGTCGTTTATCCTTAGCACGGGCCTATTGATATATTATGAAATTCAACTTCAAATGGTTCATTTTTTGTTTCATAAGTAATGATGAACTTAAACAAGATGAGAATAAACCTTTGTAGTTGTGCTCCATCACACTCAAATTGAGCTGATGGCATTTGATACAGAAGGGCATAGTCTGAGATAATGTGGCATAATGACGAAAACTTTACTGCTCTAGTTGGCGGGGGAGAATGTCCTTTGAATGCTTTGATTAAAGGTCATGTTGGTCAGAATAGACTGAACTTGGGCTGTAACAGATGGAATAGACTGAATTTACTGTAACAGATGAATTTTTCTTTCTTTATCTCTCTCTGTCTCTCTCTCTTTGCTCCTCCTTTTTAGATGACTGAATTAGGGTGAAATTGAACTTGTCTGGTTGGTTATATTATGTTCCCCTTGTCTGGGTATGGTTACCATGATGATGGTAATGATCTAGCCAGTACAGTACTTAGAACCCTGACTCTTTGGTGCTCTGACTGTTTTGAGCTCAAGATGTGCGACCTTTTAAGTAGTGTAGCGATGGCTTATGTGCGAAAGCAGGACAATTTATTTGTAACTTTAGAATTCGGGTTTAAGTTAAACATTTCCTGCAGGTTCTTCTAATGGCTTTGAAAACCTGCGTAAATCAAATCAACCTTTCTCACAGTCTACATCTGGTACTAGTTTTTGTAAAAAGTTGGAAGAAAATGTAAACTGCTACTACTCTACTGAAATATGACTCTTTTATCTGCATTGTTCAGTGCGAAATGCAGTTTCTTCTAAATGTTTCTAAATTAAGTGATAGATTGTAGGATTGGACTTCGTAATTGGATATGACCATGCATAATTGCTTTTGTACTTCATGCTACAGACAGATTCCAGGTCACTCAACACGTTTGGGAAAAGTCTATCAATTTTGAATCATTGATAACACCGAAAAACCAAATGCAACGGGGACTTTCCAGAGTGAAAGGATGAAAGTTGGTAGAGCAGCAAGACATATTAGTTTGCAATGATGAAGTGTTGCAGGTCCAACACGATGGCCAAAAGCCGCCGAACGGTGGCAACTAACAGTGGAAGAAAAACCAGTAGTTAGAGAGTGAAAAATACAAATGAAAGAGAAATATGATTTTACTAAACTGATAGAAAAGATTATAAAGCCCGTTTCTTAGCTCAATATTCAATAGGCTTATATAGCCCTTAATAATATGCTAACAAACTAACTAATCTCTAACTAATCAAAACAACCTAACTGATAGTTCAACATTCTCCATGCTTCTTCAATTTTCTTGATCTTCTTCTTCTTCAAAAAAAAAAAAAAATTCATTGTCCTCCCTCACTTATTCGGACTTTCTTCAACTTTCCTTGGCTTTTCTTCTTCTTTTCAAGAGTTTTTTTTTTCATCTTAATTGCTCTTCCTCTTCACTTATTGGGACTTTCTTTTTTGTTGGAAGCAAGGTGGTTAAGCTACGAGCTCCCGGATGCAATATGAAGCCTCTCTTGGGCAAGAAAACATATTATTTTGTCTGGTTAAGGAAGGCAATATTGTTAAACTCTTAACCCTCCCCAGATAATTTTTCTTTCCATGAAACCTTAGTTGTTAAGCCTCAAAAGTCTCATGTTCACCTTGTGAGAGAAACAAACAAGTAACAAAGAAACACAAGCTGAGATTAACTGAGCAACCCAAATCTGTTGTAGAAATGTCCATAAATCAACATCAACACCAGCTTAGAACCAAATCAAAATGCAACATACAACACACATCTGTAATATGAGAAGCATCATATGTCAACAATATACACTAAAAGTAGTGATGGACAATTATCAACATCTATCAGCAGTAATCCAACTTGGAACTCAGATGATCAAAATCCAAATATGAAGAACCATGAATCAATATCAGCAGTAGAAATCACACTTAACCTCGCTCATGCATTGTTGCACCAATCTTTGCAGGAAATTCCAATCTTACATTCCCCGAGTTTAATGATGCCAGGGCAGTTTGGACCAATTAACCTGGTTTTTGATTGCCGATTCAGGGCAGCCTTCACATGGACCACGTCATGTTGAGGAATTCCTTCCGTGATGCAAACAACCAGATCCAGTTCAGCTTCCATAGCCTCCATAATAGCAGCTACAACACAAGGTGGAGGAACATAAATGACAGAGGCATTGACCTTGGTTTCAGCTTTTGCTTCCGCTACTGAATTGAAAACAGGAAGTCCTAACTGCTCTGTGCCACCCTTCTTCGGTGTAACTCCACTAACCATCTTAGTGCCATATTCAATGGCTTGCTCGGTGTGGAAAGTTTCATTTTTCCCTTAATGCCTTACAAATAACACGAGTATTCTTGTCTACGAAAACCGCCGGCTGAGACGCTGGAGCCGCCAAGAAAGTCTGTGACTGGGTCAGAAATTGAGAAGAGGAAGAGGAGGAGAGGGAATTGAGCGGGGATATCTGGGAAGACAAAGATCGGATGAGTTGTGAGGCTTGTCTAGCCATTGCTGCTGCTGTTGATTCAATATTGGATCTCCTTTGCCTCTCTCGCTGCTGTAGAAACCCAAAAAAGTGTACTTCGACTGAGAAGGAGGCGACAGAGGAAACTTCGAAGCTATTGAGGAACCCGATCAAAGAACGGAATGGAAACAACGGAAGAAAGATGACGTCAGGATCTTTGGCGAATGATACCATGATGAAGTGTTGCAGGTCCAACACGATGGCCGGAAGCCACCGAACGGCGGCAACCAACAGTGGAAGAGAAACAAATAGTTAGAGAGTGAGAAAAATACAAATGAAAGAGAAATAGGATTTTACTAAACTGATAGAAAAGACTACAAAGCCTGTTTCTTAGCTCAATATTCAATAGTCTTATATAGCCCTTAGGGGGTGTTTGGATGGGGGAATGTGGGATTCTCATGGGAATGGAATCCACATTCCCCCGTTTGGTTAGGCCGGGAATCTCATTCCCGGTAATGAAAGATTACCGATAGTGGATTTTTTTGGGTATATTACCGGGATGTCATTACCTCCATTTCCTTAGGTATTGTTGAATTACCGGCGTTTTGGACTAAAATGCCCTTAAATTTTTATTTTTTATAAAAATATTCTTCTTCTGTCATTGAATGATAAAAATTCTACGAAGGTTAAATTACAAATTTATCCTTAAATTATTTTAGATTAAAAAAAATCTATAATTAAAATTTTATATGAAGTTCAGGGATTAAAATAAAATTTTACCCTTTCATTAAACTTTTTTTATATTTTTAATTTTGTAAAAAAATTATATAAATATTATGAATTTAAATTTTTTAAAGAAAATATATAAATATTTTTCAACTTGTAATATTATACAAATATATAATAAAGTCAATTTGGTCAAATATACATTCCAATAATCTTTTATTCATTTAACCAAATACGGTAATCTTACATTCCTGCTAAGCCAACCAAACACAAAATACAATATTCACAGTAATCTTATTCCCTGGTAATCTTACATTCCCACTGGTAATCATACATTCCGTGAACCAAACGCACCCTTAATAATATGCTAACAAACTAACTAATCTCTAACTAATCAAAACAACCTAACTGATAGTTCAACATGCAATACCATATGAAGCCTTCTTCTGGTGACCAAAAGAGTAGGACAGCTACATTGCCTTCTCATTTTGACACAGATGACAACTTGCGAAACGCTGCAAAGTAAGCAATTTTACGCGTTACTTATTTATATTCCGAGGCTGAAAATACCAATGGGTCATTCATGAAATTCTCAACTTGTGTTTGTAATTGAAAATATCTCGTGGACAACTTTTTTGTTATCTTGCAATTTCTTTTCTTTTAAAAAAAAACATTTTATATATATGTTAAAATTTTAATTTGAACTTTTTGTTATTCGTTAAAGATATTCTATAAAATGTTTCACATATTTCTGTCAACTGGTCTGATTGTCTTCAGTTAACTTGAGTCCACACGCATTGGTTTTATGCAATCATTTGATATAAAAAAACCAGTAAAATATGTATGTAAATCGGGACTTATTTAAACCAGGAGTAAATCTGTAATATGAACTTTTTTTCCATTCGAAAAATCAATAAAAAAACAGTTCAAAAGTTTTCTTATTGCTGGTATTTTTATATATTTTTTATTTTATTAGCTTTCGAAAATACAAAAAAAAAAGAGAAAGGAGAGTACCTTACGTTTGGTTGGAGCCTCGCCGGATTTCAGAGGGTCAGTTCACATATTCGAACGGTGAGGAAAAACTTCTCGAGGAGGGGAATAACATATTGAAATTTGGGCCCGATCCAACGGCGGATGTCGAAGATCCGGGCTGTGAAAGCCGAGGGGTTCTCAACTTATTTTGCGGCGTTGGGGGCCATTTTTCACAAAACCGAGCTCAGATCAGTGACCACGAGTCTCTCGGTAAATTTTGGTGGCCAACAGTCACCGGAGACAACGGTGACGCGACGACAACGATCGGGCTGCGACCGACGTCTGACCGGAATTCTAGAGAGAGAAGAGATTGTCTCTCTAAAAAAATATTAAAAAAATAAAATGTTTAAGAAAAAGGGGGGAAGTTTGTATTTATAAAACAATTTTAGGGGAAATCTCATTTTAGCCTCCAACTATTCTCGTATTTTTACAAAATGGTCACTGAAAGGGATTGTCTTTATAATTTTTCATTTTCTATTTGTGCTTTAAAATTTTTGGTATAATTTTAGTTTACTCCCCCACTTTTAGTGTGTTTTTACACTTTTGTCATGTGTAGTGACCTTTTAATTTTTTTGAAACTTCGTGGATTGATTTTGCAATTCTTCATTTTCTGTGCATATGTTGTTACTTTTTGGGTTATTATCGTTTTTAGTTCCCCAAACTTTGCAGTGATTTTACATACTGGTCACTGGACATTTCATTTCTAATTTATTGCAATTTTATAATTCTGGTTTGTTTTATTTTAATTTAGTCACTGTTAATTTTTGATTTAGCTAATATTATTTTATTTTTTGCGTTTCAGTCACTGCTTATTTCTTATTTAACTACTAACTTTTATTTTCTTTCATTTTAGTCACTGTTATTTTATTTTATGCAATTAGGTCCTTGTATTTATGTTTATTTTATTTTTTACTGTTTATTTTATTTGTTATTTTAATTAAGTTTATTATTAATTGATTTTTTCATAATTTAATTCTTAGATTTAGTTTAAATTTAGATTAACATTCGAATCAAACTAAGAAATTAGGATGACAATCTATTTTAATTAGGGAGCAATTCGAGTCGAGTTTTCGCATAAGATGCCCGATTACTCGAATAGATTGTTCGAGTTTTAAAATTCATCAATAATTAATATTTTCCAAAAAAAATTACTTTAGGTTTAATAATTTAGATAATAATTAGGTTTTTAGTTTAGATTTAGTCCTCAACTTTAGAAATTGTCAATTTAGGTCCTAAGCTTTTAGATCTTTTAGAAATCGATATTTTTAGATTTTGACCTTTAATCCCCGGACTTTGATTAGTGTTTTAATTTTGACATAATTAAATATGTTAAATAGAGCCTCTATTTTTAGTTAGATTTCAAACTAGTCTTTTAATTTAGGGAATAATTCGAGTTGGCCCTCGCCAAAATGCTCAAGGTACCATCTCGGTGATTCGATTCAATAACTGATTTAAAAATAAGATAGGAATAATATTAGAGCTTACATTTTTAGGTTTGTGCCTTTAGTTCATTTAATTTTCATAATTTGATACCTTAAGCTAGAAAAAACCTTTAATTTACCTTAGTTTAATTAGGATTAAATAAAATTTTGTCTAATTGCATTTTATTTATAAATCTAAGGCAATGTTCATTTATTAGGGAATTAATGGTATATCTCCAACAAGTAT